TCTCTCTCTCTCTCTCTCTCTCTCTCTCTCTCTCTCTCTCTCTCTCTCTCTCTCTCTCTCTCTCTCTCTCTCTCTCTCTCTCTCTCTCACGTGCATGCGCATATGCATATTCTCTCTGGCACACACGTTCTCCTTTAGTGTGTGACTGACTTTTTGTGTGTGAGAGCGAGAGAGAGGGCGTAATGTGTATGTGCTGAGTGTGAGAGGGAGAGAGCGAGCAATCACGCATCAATGTCAAGGTCAAGGTCAATGTCAAGGTCAAGCTATGCAGAGACAGAGAGAGACATGTCCGTACCTTCGCATTCGAAGACATGCAAAACGGCGTGCAGTGTGGGCCTGGGCAACCGGCCGAAACGGTGGCCTAGAGTCACACCGAGCAATGCGGCGGCAGTCTCGAGGGCGGTGCTTGTCATTCACATTCTATGTTTTGCCCTTGTTTGCGCTCGGGGGTATCAATATTTTTTTGAACTCGAGTGTGGTCTTTGGTCCTGGTTTCTTCTTCTTCTTCTTCTTCTTCTTCTTCTTCTTCTTCTTCTTCTTTTTCTTCTTCCTTTTCTGCTTCTTCTGTCCTCTTACTCCTAGTATGTTCCTTGTATGATGGTCAATGGCATCAAGAATGCATGTATGATTGTCCTGGGCCTCAACCCCTGCCCACAGCTTCCTTCTTCTTGAAAGACCGGTCCTTTTTTTTTCTTTTTTTTTTTTTGACAGGTCAGCTCCCAAATCTCACTCACCGGCCCCAAGATAACCGGGCCCCTCCAGACCTCACCTCCCACCAGTCACGCCCACAAAAAAACAAAGACAACCTTGCGGACTCATGCCGCACTGCACTGAGCTGCAGCCTCTGTAGGCTGTCCGTACAAGTCAGCCGGCGTAGGCTGTCAAAAGTAGGCTGTTCGCAGCGGTCCAAATTCTAAAAATAGCAGCTCAACCCAAGGAATGTCTGGATCCTAAGTTCCGACCGGAAAAGAATCGTAGAGCTACTCAACCAGAAGGCCAGGGAGCTGCGCTGGTCCGAAAAGCCTAAGATTGCAAGCTGCAGCTGAGTAGAAAACAGTCGCTGCAATTAAGGCTATGGTGAGTCGATAATAGTCAATATTGAATATCCCAGATTCTCTCTCTCATTTCCTCCGCGAATCATAATAAACTATCAATAATACAAAAAACGTAGAGACAGGCAAGATAGTAAAAAATGCAAGATTGCCCACGTTTGCGTGGTTCAGCGCCAAGCTTGCAAGTGTGTGTGTGTGTGTGTGTGTGTGTGTGTGTGTGTGTGTGTGTGTGTGTG